TCCCTTTTTTTGTGTTCTTTGTCATTTATTGCTTTCCTTTTGATCGTCTGATTATATGTTATTTGATCTTCTTTCCTTGTCTGTTGCTCTTTCCTTTGTTCATTACTTCCTGTTTAGTTGTTTAGGGTTTCCTTGTTGTGTCTATTTAAAACATCTTTCCCTGCCTCTCTGTCTCGCATCCAACCCGTGTTTGTTCTTCTCTCTGATCCTTCTGCAAATGGTCTTTCCTTACATCAAAACCTTTACTAGAACTATGTTCCTTGAACCCATTGTTGCAAATTCCCACCGTCATTCCCTGTAATATGCCTCTCGTCAAATTTTTCCCTCGTACAATATTGCTATCGACGAGCTGGCTGAGGTAGGGCTCGACATTCACCCCTTTGTCCACAATCTGGGTTGGGATTTCTCCTTGATCATCCCTTGTCCACCATTATTTGCCCTGAAGCTGTTAGGTTCTTCTACTCGAACCTTCGTTATACTGAGGTATCCTCTTGCGTCTTTACCTCACTTGTTTTTTTGTCATATGATGACTATCCCGGTGCATCAGATTGGTCTTCTTCGAAACATCCCTCAAGTTTGTGAGAATCTTGTTGATGAATCGGAGTTGGGTCTCTTTGGTTTCGACGTCTTGGATGAGTTACACACCATCACCAGTCAATTTCCTAGACCAGATCAGTTGATGCCTGTCCATGCTCTGCTTCCCGTCCTCCAGGTTTGTCACTTTTTTCTCACTCGGGTATTTCTGCCCGGGACAGGAAACCTCCATTTGCTCTCTCAACTAGATGTCTGGATTCTTTCTCATGTTGTTCACGGTATCCCTTTGGATTATTCTCCTCTCTTCTACGGGCGGTTCTTCCCTTTGTTGATGTTTCCCTCGCAGTCTCCCTACCTTTTGGTTCATTGATCACTCAGTTGTTGCATCGTCTTGATCTTAATCTCAATCTCTTTCGTACCACCACCCCGACTATGTTTCTCTCAGCTGATGATGTCATGGACATCATGCAAATTTCAATTGAGGGGGAGAACGATGTTTCTGTTGTTCACATTATCAATAGTGATTCTGAGGATTCTGATGACTCTGATGGTGGCCCTGATGCGGAGCTAGAACCTTTGTTTTTCTTTGTTGCTTTGTGTTCTGTTTTAATTGCTAAATGTTGCTTAAACTTTGCTCTTGGATTGGTTTGCTTGACTAGGCTGTGGTCGTTTTGATTGCTTCATGCTCTTGTTTGGATTTCTTACTTGGACATTTCATGTGTGTTGATTGCTAAGTATCCTGTTTGCTTTATTGTGAATGGTTGGCTATCTTCTCGGCATAGAAAGGTATTTGTTTTGCAGGCACACTTTGCAATCTACAATTTCAGTAGGCACACTTTGCAATCTACAATTTCAGTTTCAGGTGTGATTGTTGAAATATGAAAACTTGCATTGCAAATCGTTTCTCCATCAATCAAGGGGATCAGCCAGGATTTTCAGCTTTCCTTAATTGGGCGACTTTTGAATACAACGGCAGGATGGCCAAGGCTATAAATAGTTTTCAAGAAAGAAGTTCTCGACAACTTTTGTAACAGCGATATAAAGCTACTTACAAAGTGGGCTAATCCAAATAGAGAAAGAGGTTATGTTTGATTTTTTTTTCCAGTGTTGCTCTTGAGTCTACATCTTTTTGCTTCATTTGCTTGATAGGAAAAATCAAATAAAAATAGAGTCTCCTATACATCAGTAGAGTGTTGAATCTAAGACGAGGACTAACCAGTAGATTGGAAACATCACATGTGTTCTTCTCTATTCTGTGTTTCATTATTTTTCTATGTTCCATCAGCTTCCCCTGTTCTAGCTCTCAGCAGTAGTTCGACTCTGTCTTCTTTCTAAGGGAGAAGATGAGGGCAAAATACTGTGGGTTGAACTGAAGCGGCCCAAACTCTTCTTTTATTTCCATTCATTTTACTTGCGGGCCTTATAAGTTCTTGGGCCCAATTGTAACCCTTACAACCTCTTTTGGATACAATTCCATAAGAAATGGAAATGGATTTCCATTCGGAATTCCATTTCCAATATTTGTGTTTGGATAATTCCAACAACTATGAAAATGAATTGTACTCTTAAACAATCATTAATGATTTAGTAGATTTTTTTATCTTGAGAAATAAAATACTGATGAGAGACTCATTGGGTTTCATGGCGTAACCTATGCAGGAGCAAATTTGATGGTGGACTAGGGTTTCGACGATTCGAGAACTTTAACCAGGCGTTATTGGCGAAGATAGCATGGAGAATTTGGAAGGAGCCGGATTCGTTGTTGGCAAGGGTGCTGAAAGGGAAATACTTCCCACAGGCATCTATTCTTACAGCGACTCGTAGGTCGAGGCCGTCATGGGGGTGGATTAGTATTTTGCATGGAAGGGACTTGCTTGTCAAGGGTCTTAGATGGCAGATTGGGGAAGGTTCGCAGGTTAGAATTAGGGAGGATAACTGGATCCCGGATATTAGCCCGGAGGAGCTGGAAGTGAAGGCCTCGGCACCAGATCTGACAGGAGTAACGGTTAACTCGCTGCTGGTACCTGGCAAGGGTGCATGGTGCTTGGAATGTTTGGACCAATGCTTCTCTCGTCCGATAGTGCAGGCTATCCAGTCTATACCACTGCCGAAGGGTGGGGTGGAAGATAGCCAAGTCTGGACAGGTGAGGGGATGGGGAGTATTCGGTGAAGTCGGGATACCATTTAGCCTTTCAATATGCTAAGCAGATTCAGGATTGGAAGGCTGATGTGTCATTTTTTATATGAAATGTTGGAAAAAGCTCTGGGGACTTCCCATTCCGCCAAAGCTGAAGTGTTTCCTTTGGCAGAGCATGAAGCGGGTCCTCCCTACTATGGAGACGATAATTGAGCAGACTGGTAGAATACCTGGGGAAGTGGAACCTGATTCGGGAGACGAGGCTGTTGATCCCAGGTGTCCGGTTTGTTGGGCGCCGTTGGAGACTTTGGAGCATATGTTTCTTTCATGCAGGATGGCAAGGGTGCTCTGGGAGAGGTCGGGTTTGGTGGAAGAGCTTGGGAGGCAGCCTCCGTTGAATTTTGCTCTGTTCCTTCGCCGATTTTTTGACCAGGAAGCCAGTGTAGAGAGGATAGTTCGGTTTGTGGCAACTCTTTGGAGAATTTGGAAGAGTAGAAATTGGGTGGTGTTTGATCATGTACAATATGGGGTGAGTACTCTGGTGAGGCAATTTGAGGAGCAGGTCCGTGAGTGGTTAAGTCTGGCTGAGGCTGGGCAGGATAGAGTGAATCGGGGTCAACAGGGAGGGGGTGCGAGTAGGGTGGCTTGTAGATCACAGATTGCTATGCCTTATCGATGCTATGTGGATGGTGTTGTACGTGCTGGTTCACATGGTGCTGGTGGTTTGGTGGTTTATGATGGGTTGGGGAGGGTGTGTTTTGTGCAAGGGTTTTGTTATGCAGGTCTGGAGGATCCTTTTCTGGTGGAATTGGTGGCGTTTCGGGATGCAATTCAGTGGTGCTCTTTGAAGGGACTAGCCAAAGTGCAATTCTGCGGGGATGCGAAGGTTGTCATTGAGAAAATCCAGAATATGGATGCTAGGGATGTGAAAGGCGGTCGGATTCTTGAAGAAATTCGAAAGCTGCGGCTGCAGTACTTGCGTTTGGAGATGGCTTTTATTGGCAGGAGTAACAATCGGGTGGCCCATGAGGTGGCTAGGAAGACCCTTTCTTTGTTGCCTGCAGTTGTAGATACTTTTGATTTTTTTCGTTGGTTTGTTCATGAGTTGTAAACTGTGCTAGCTGTTTGCCTTGGTAATACAAGTGATCTACTGGTAAAAAAAAAAAATACTGATGAGAGAGAAAGAGAAGAATAAGATAGTGAAATTATAAAATAATAATAAATATGAATAGGTCCCACTAATTCCATCTCCATAAACCCAATTCCTATTACTTTTGATAGGGGTAAATTGCAAGGTTAGTCACTAGGGTTACTAAAAACGTTCATGTTTGACCACTAAAAATAATTAAATCCATTCATGATCACTAAAATTAATTAAATGGTTCAAATTAAGTCACTCTCCGTCCAACTCCGTTTACTTGTCTGATGTGGCAGTCAACTCTCAAAGTTGACCGTTAACTGAGTGACGTTGCAATTAAAAAATAATAAATAAAATAAATTTTTTTCTTTTATAATTTTCAGCTTATTTTTACAATAAATTGAAATAAATAAAATAGAAAAAATATTATAATTACCAACGAATCACACTCCGCCGCCTCACTTTCCATCTCCTCGACCGCCGGCAGCTTAAACTTCCCATCGAGTAGCTCCGCCAGCCACCGGCTCCTCATCTCCGAGGTGAACAGGTTCGTTATGCTCTCCGAGTACCCCCACCACGGCCAGCTGCGGAATCCACGTCGTAGGGTGCTTTCCGACGTGGATTCGCAGCTGGCCGTGTTGGAGTACTCGGAGAGCATCACGAACCTGTTCACCTCGAAGATGAGGAGTCGGTGGCTGGCGGAGCTTCTCGACGGGAAGTTTAAGCTGTAGGCGGTCAAGGAGATGGAAAGTGAGGCGGCTGAGTGTGATGCATTGGTAATTATAATATTATTCTGTTTTATTTATTTCAATTTATTGTAAAAATGAGCTGAAAATTATAAAAGAAAAAAATTTATTTTATTTATTATTTTTTAATTGCCACGTCACTCAGTTAACGGTCAGCTTTGAGAGTTGACCGCCACATCAGACAAAGTTAACGGAGTTGGACGGAGAGTGACTAAATTTGAACCATTTAATTAATTTTAGTGATCATGAATGGATTTATTTATTCTTAGTGACCATTCTTAGTGACCAAACATGAACGTTTATAGTAAACCCAGTGACTAACCTTACAATTTATCCCTTTTAATAGGAATTCTAATTTCCAATATTTTGGTCAAATGAAATTCATTTCTCAACCTTCTTATCATTCCAAACATGAAATAATAAAATAGAATTAGAAATGAAATTCCAATTCCTTAGTTGTTTATCCATCCAAACAGAGGTTAGGTTAGAGAACAAATTCTGAGAGAGTATTGAGCCAACATCATCTCTCCCTTCCTTTCGTTCTCTTTCATTTATGATTTTCCCCAATTTGTCTCAAACCCTCTCTAACGAAATCTGTTGGTTCACAGTGGCAATTTTCCTTTTCGTACATTTTTTTACTATACCCAGAATACACATGCTATTTACAAGGAAGATACAACACCTACGAGTGACTACCGCGGAACTGTTCAGAAACAAACAAGAGATACTAGCTGCGAAGAGGGACAAGGAAATAATGAAAGATACTTCCTCACGGTGTTACAGAGAAACAAATAAGAAACTACTCTCTTTGTTTCTTTCTCCTACAGAAACAAGCTACAAAAGTTTCCTATTTCCTGTTAGTTATAGAGAACTTGGCTCACCTCTGCATCTTCGACTTGGAAATACGCGGGGTTGGCATTCGACGAGGCGAGCTGCTCTGTTTGCAGTCCCCGAATGAATCAGACTGCGATAAAGAAAACAATGGATTGATCAGAAAACGTTTACACGGAGTCAAAGAGCATCGGTTAAAAGAGCAGCATTGCTTCCACTATCAAAACTCACCAGATTCCGCGGCTCGAATGACTTCCAACTAGGCCGGGAATCAAAAGTCTGAAATCTTTGAGCACCACCGAGTACTCTCCTGATGAAATCTTGTAGATGGTTGTATATGCTGTGGTCCAACGCAAAATTGTGAGCTCAGCGAAGTGTTAGGCTCGCGAAAAGTGTGCAGTGTTCACTGGATACGAACAAAAAAGAAAAGAAAAGAGCTACCTGAGGCGATGTTTGTTGCATGCTGTGAAGAAAGCCACAAAACCATTCAAAATACTTCTGACGGCACGAAAGACCTGTGAAAAAAGGTCGCTCCAAAGTGATCTCCACATGGAAACTTGGTATGTGTTCACTGACGCCTCGGAAGCTGAAGCAAGCTGCACTATGCTACTCATAGATCGCCAAACATCTACAACCAACTGCACCATCAAGCCTAAAATTCCACCCAGGAAGCCTGATAGTGCAAGAACCATGCGAATTGGGGTGTAGATGACTTCCCACAGAATCCAGAAGATGGGATATAAGATTGAAGTCGCTGCAGCAGAAAATTATTTTAAAAAGTTAGACACAAGACATTAGCCAAACAGCAGTGAAAAGCTACCAAGAAACGAGAAAGGCAGAACGTACCGAAGTTCCATACAAAAGAGAGGACAACCCATATAGGCCACAGGAAAAACTCAAGAACATCTCCAACCACATTGCAAGTGGTTCCCACCACAAGCCAGACTACTGAGAATAACCTCTCAACTACTTCAATGACTTCATTCCACAATGGAAGGAGAAATCCTACTAATTCCACCAACGGGCCAACCAGAGGTTGAGTGAAAACGGAGAGGAAAGACCGGAAAGTTCGAGTGATCATTAAGGACCAGGTTACAGCCTTCTGGAAATTGTGAAGAAACAGCATGGTCCCCAGATACTTGATCCTGGAGACCATTTCCCAAGTCTCTATCCAGTCAAAAAGTGGCCCACATAATCGAGATGCAGTCGCCTTGAGAACAGGGACATTTTTGTAAAGATCGTAGAAGCCTATCATAACAGTGACAATCGAGATGGAGACGTATAAAGCTCTAGCTAGTGGACACATCCACGGGCGATAAAGATGGCAAAACCCAGGATATGATTGGAGAAAGATTACCCATGATGGAAGCCCTGCCTCTAAGAGGGTCAATAACCTAAGGTCAGCCATTACGATTTGCCTCAGCTTGGAAGGGAGGTCATGGTCATCGAACCTCATCAGAATTAGTACGTCCATGTACTCCTTAGCTTCAAGACTACCGTTTTCACAATTGCTGCTGCTGCAATCAGCCTCCGAGTTGTGCAACAAATCTTTGCTTCTGCCCTGTGTTTCAGAATAAAAATCAACTTCGACTCCTGTGGCAATCGACTTAGTTACCCTTCTTCTCTTGTAGGGCCCACTGGGTGGAGGTGTGTGGGGCTCAGAGTCATCTTGAATATCCTCAGAATCACTGAGACTAGTGGATGGGAAATTCCCAGTGCCCAGATTACCTCCAATGGTCTCTTCATCATCATCATTGAAAGAACCTGTTCTTGAAAATTTTTGCTTTGCATCATAGAAAATATCTCCTGGAGAACACCCGAACATATCGACATAACATCAGTTTCAACTTCCAATATAAGTCAACATTCCAGCATTGCAGTAAGCTTAATGGATCGACTGTGGCATTAGAGAAAGTATATCAGGTAATACAGTCTTTAAACAATATGGGGTCAGCTCGCTACGCCTTGATCAGAAGCAATGTGATACAAACTAATTAAAAAAAAGGATAAAACAATAAATCAGAATTCAAGAGAGGGCTGCAGTAACCTGTAACAGAATCCAGGTATTCCTTCAATTGTAACTGCTCGGGCAATGTTCCAGAAAACCAAGAAGATATAGATCTTGATGCTTGAGATATACAATCAAATTCCCATCTTTGCATAACTTTCGCCTCAACTGCCAGAGATGTGTCTGTCTGCGTACACATAAAAATTATTGACCAAAAAGACAAACTTCACTGTAAAATACAAACTGAAGATTGTGGGATTCAACGCCTCGTACCTGAAGTTCATTCAAATAGTTAATACCTCGAACGTTGCTCCAAGCAACTTCAAACACTATAAAACCATAGAGTGTTCTGTGCAGCTCACTGCTCAAGAATAACGACTTCCTCAACTTCTCCACTGGCAACAAACCTGCCTTCTGAGAGAAGTTTTTTGCATCGATCAGTGAGAACCATTTCTCCATATTCTTTGCCTTGTTGGAATCAGACTGAGGACGAGAAGTTCCCTTGCACTCCCTTTTCCCTCTTCGTGCTTTGCTGTTTGCAAATGGAGATAACCTCGACTGCAATGAACTTAAACCAATATCAATAACTGGAACCATCAAGGACTTAAAAACAGGTACAGTGTTCTGAATATCTCTAGTAACTATAACTCATCACCTTTGTAACCATTAACTGCCACAAGTGTGCTGGTCGCGAACCCAGACTCTTCAACCATGGCCGGTTGTCCACCAAGACGTATAGCTTCTTACTTTCGAAAGCCACATACAGACTAAGATCTGAAAGATACGACTGCAAGTCTCTGCAATCAGAAAAGGACAGAACAATTCAGGAATCGAATAAATAACCAATACAGAAGAGCATCTTAGGCATGCCTCAAAGCCTAGAGTACCAATTTGTGCAGATCATACTAAGAGTCAGACCCTCTTAGAAGGAGCAATCCCTACACTCAAGCTATAAGCAAAATTTCTCAATTGCGATTGCCCAATGCCCAGTTCCGCTAGATTCATACATGCATATGGGATGTAACAGTGCCCTACTTCTCAATTGCAGATATCGGAGGAATGGAGACAAAGCTCATATATACTAACCCGATTTGCAGACTAGATAAAGGGAAAACACATCTCCCATCGTCAGCTTTCCCCATCAAGCTCCCAATTCAAACTCAAATCACCTCCAAAGTCAACACAAGGCTCTGCTGCTTCAAACACAAAAAGCGCCATTCACAATCACCATAAGCCCATTCAATCGACGAGATGGCAATAAGAGTATAATGCTACTTGCAAAAGCTGGAGAGGAGAAAAACGCACCTTGTTGAGCAGCTGAAGAAGAATTCCACGGAAGTGGAAGAGATGTAGGAGAGGAAAAGAAACAATCGCCTGCGAACTTCATACCAGAAGCAGGCGGGCATGAGAAATAGCAGCAGAGGCGGGAGATGGCGAATCGACCGGCCGAAGAGATCAACCAGGAACAAACATTGTCAAAAACACGAAACCAAAGCGAATTTGGAAGGGGGGGAAAAACAAGAGTTCGAATTGACCACGGAATGAGGGGGGAAAACCCCCGCCGAATGACTGTTGCCGGCGACAAGCAAAGCGGAATAAAACGAGACAGAAGCTCCGCCTGCCTGACCGGAAGACGGAGGTTGAAAGGAATTGAAACGGGAGAGGGGGGATCGCTTAACGTGCAAGTCAATTTGTCCAAGGAGAATATTCCCGAATTGTTTTGGTTTTGTGAGGATGAGAGAGGTTCAGAAGGCAAAAATGGCGGAACGGGAGTCAGGGATATCAGGATTCTTCCCGCGTTTTCGAGGTATTTGCTATGGCGGTGCCGGTGGGAGGGAGGGCTGGTGTATGGTATATATAAGTTTGAAATAAAAGAAAGAGAGAAGAGAAGGAAGTGTTATTGATGTTCGTTCTGGTGAAAACAGGAAAACGAAGATGCCAGAAACCGAGATAGCTAGGCCTACGTGGAGAAGGTGCACAGAGTACAGACGGTTAGACTTTAGAGGGAGGAGAATTTTATTGTGTGTAGTTTGGGTGTAGTTAATTTCTGTGATCCTGGTGCTCGTGTCCGTTGATTTCTAATACGACCACAAAAAATCGAGAGCAGATCTCCTTAATCGAGAGTTGACGATTAACATATGGTTTTTCAAAATTACAATCATTTTTATATATTTTGAAAATTTATACTAGGATGGTAACGCTTAATAGTACATAAGATTCAATCATTGTGATATGAATATATTATAGTGTAGTATGGTTGCATACCCAAATCTAATTTATCATGAATGTAGGAAAATATATTTTTGTTCCCAATTTTTTGGGACCGAATATGTGGGTGCCATGAATTTGGATGGCCAATTTGGTGGACCTTATGACATAGTAATCTCATCCGTAAGTGTGGGATTTGAAGAGACGTTGCAAAATCTATGATAGTCTATTACATTTATACCCCTCTGAAAATAAAAATATTTTAAGTTAATGCAATTTCAAATTAAAAACTAGAAATGGCAAATGCATAACAACAAAATCTATAAACAAAATCCAACAAATTTTCCAAAATTCATAATGGACCAACTCCATCACAAATTTAAGATTTTAAAGCCTAAAATTTGATCAAAATTCTCATTTTCAAATCCAACTAAGGATAGATGTATTTTTCACCCTTCAAAATAATTACTTGCGATCAAAAGTCAAAAGTTAGGTACCAGTTTATTAATAATCCAAAAGTTCAGTGACGTTTTGGACGCATCTGATCGTCCGAGTTCGAGTCGTGACAAGCCCATTGGCCATTGCCATTTGCCCGCGCTTGATCTCTGTTGCTGTGCTCGTGGGTGGGACCCATGATCAATGCCCATCCGATAACAAGAACATAAGAAAGCAGGAAAACTCCAGTGAGGAAGTTTCTTCCATGTTTTTGGTCGGATGCGGGCGGGTGTAGAAAAGGTGTATCATGCGGCGGGCCGGATTGATGCTGCTTGCTGGAGAATTTCTAACAAGACATCAAACATTTTCCAGCAGAAAAATTAAATACTGAGAACAAGTGGGGAAGAGTTCTGTCAGACAAAAGCTAAGAGGTTCTGGTCCACATCGTTTGTAATGAGTTTTTTTTTTCTTTATAATAATTGTAATGGGGGGTAGTTGGTAATTAATAATTTGATGATGGTGATTGATCCTATCTTAACCATAAAGACCAATTAATATGACAGAGCATCTATGTTAAGTTGATCATTATTATATTATTATATGTCACTCGGGTGAATAGTGGGGTGGTTTTGTCATTTTATGCAAATTTGGGAAGTTTGAAATCACTCTCTACATTGTGGATGAAGAATAAAATGACTCACATCCATACATGTACTATGTGGTGTGGAGAATTGACTACGGGGTTGTGTGAGCATGGTGATAGAGATATTAGGTAGAAGGTTTGAAGAGAATGAATCTGACGTAATTTGTATTTCTTAGGTTTCTGAACTATATACAGGTATACAAACAGAAAAGGGACTTCGCGTTCCATAAAGAAAGGAACAGAATGAAAGTGGGAGAGAAAATAAAATTACTAAATCGCTATTCGTCGCCCTAAAATTAAAATTTTATCGCCCTAAAACGCACTAAATTGACATATTTACCCTTTAATAAAATTTATATTATCCTTAAACCAAACAATTGCAGAGAAGATAATTTGCTTTATTCTCATTTCTTGTTACTTTCGTCTCTCTCCCACCTCGGAGTAGCCGGAGTTCGAAGCTAATTCAAACAAAAAAGGGGCAAGGGGACAAGGAGTCGATTACTCGATTTAAGTATAATTGAACTCCTACTTGCAAAACGCGACCCAGCCGCCCGCTCACAGCTCCAGCGGCGGTTGTCGGAGAATAACTTAATTAGTGCGAGGAATTAGGATTTTTAGGGCGACGAATAGCAATCCCCTAAAATTAAGGGTTAATTGCAAGGTTGGTTACTGGAATTATTAGAAACATTCACGTTTGGCCACTACAAATATTTAATTCCATTCGTGGTCACTGAAATTATTAAAAACGTTCACGTTTGGTCACTCTCCGTTAACTTCATCCTAGGTGGCAGTCAACTGGCAAAGTTGATTGTTAAATGTGTGACGTGGCAATTAAAAAATTAATTAAAATTTTTAAAATTTCCACTTCATTATCAAAATTAGGTGAAAATTGAAAAATGGGAAAGTACCATTTTAATCCTCCCCGCCGCTGCAACCACTAGGGCCCCGCCGCCGCGTCCCTAGCTGTGGAGAAGCTGAAGGCTGGCCGGAGCGCTTCAAGTTCTGTACGTAGCTCATCCTACCGTCACTCATTTAATTTCCATCCATTACTCTTCCAGGTGCCTCCCTCCGTCGTCTCTCTGCAACCATGGCTTCCTACACTTCCCTAGCTCGCTTCAACAGACAACAGTAGTAATTTCCTTGTTCCATTGCTTGGATTTTATGTATTCAGTATTCTACCAACTTTAATATGAAGTTAGTTGATTGTATTATAACTTGCTTCTCGTTTGACTAACCTGCATCACCTTCTTCCCAATTGATTCTCCCTTCCGAGGTCCAATTGGGGCACATTTTCTTCTTCCGCTGTCGGTACATCTCGCCGGATTAGTACGAGGGAGAGGCAGATCCACTTCAACTTTCTACTCCTCCACTAGGTGCTGCGTACAGAACCTCAACCACCGCTTCGAGCTCCTCCTTGTCCTCCTAGTCGTTGATCTGGTCTTGATTGGCTCGTCTTCGGATGAACTTGAAAATCAGCGCACCGCCTAGTCTTCAGCTTCTCATTGGACCTAACCCACAACACCTTCTCTCGCTACCGCTACCCTCTTGCCGGAATAAACTAAGGAGAGGCAGATCCAGCCAGTCTTGAGCTTCTCAAAGGCTAGGGGACGCAGCTGCGGGGTACTAGTTATTGTAGCGGTGGCGACTGGCGAAGATGTAACAAAATAGTTTTCATTTTTCATTTTTTGTATAATTTTGATAATGAGGTGGAAATTTGAAAATCTTTTATTTTATTTTTAATTAATGTTTTATTGCCACGTCAGACATTTAACGGTCAACTTTGAGAGTTGACTGCCACCTAGGATGAAGTTAACGGAGAGTGACCATTGGTGAAACGAATATATAAAGTTAGTGACCACGATTGGAATTAAATATTTTTAGTGACCAAACGTGAACGTTTTTAGTAATTCCAGTGACCAACCTTGCAATTAACCCATAAAATTAAAAATAAAATTACATTTATTTACTATCCCTAATACGCCCCTGCAAGACGGACGTAGTATTAACTACGCCGATCTTGGACCGAAGTAGAAGAAATCGAGTCGCGAGCAAAGGCTTGGTGAGCATATCGGCCAGTTGGTGAGAAGTCAGAACATAGGCAACGTGGAGTCGTTGAGGTTGAACCTATTGACGGACAAAATGATAATCCAACGCCAAGTGTTTCATGCGAGAATGGAACACCGGATTGGAGCTAAATGATGTAGCACCAAGATTGTCGGAGTAGAGGATTGGTGGAACGGAAAGTGGTTGATGAAGCTCAGTCAACAAATTCCGAATCCACTCAAGTTCAGCAGTAGCATGAGCAATAACACGATACTCAACCTTCGTACTGGAGCGGGCAATGGTGCGTTGTTTCTGCGAACGCCAGGAGATAAGAGTGTCGCCAAGATAAACCAAGTAAGGTGATGTAGAAGAACGGTCATCTAAGTCGCCAGCCCAATCCGGGTCAGAGAAGGCGGACAACGCAAGAGAGCCAGAAGAGTGACGAACAGCTAGACCATGAGAGAGCGTCCCGGAGACATAACGCAGTAATCGTTTAACACTTTGCCAATGATTGGAGGAAGGCGCATGCATAAACTGGGAGAGTTGATTCACAGCGAAGGCAATGTCGGGACGAGTATAAGTCAAGTACTGAAGAGCGCCCAGCACCTGGCGATACCGAGTAGCATCAGCGGGAGAGCTCCCATCGTGAAGTGAAAGCGAGACCGAAGACGCCAAAGGAGTGGTAGCTGGCTTAGCATCGGTCATGGAGAAGCGATGAAGCACGTCCTCCATGTATTTTTGTTGAGACAAAATGTAGCTAGTGGGAGTGGGAATGACTTCAATACCCAAGAAATAATGAACCGAGCCAAGGGACTTGAGGGAAAACCGATCAGAGAGCGCTTCCTGAAAAGCAGCCAGGGCCATAGAATCATTACCAGTAAGTAAGAGATCATAATGTACATAAGAACCTGTTGCCGAGAGTAGACAAAGAGAGAAGCATCAGAGTGAGTTTTCTGAAACCCATATGCTTCAAGGAACTCACTGAGAGTCGTATACCATGCCCTAGGAGCCTGACGAAGACCATAAATGGCGCAGCAAAGGCGACAAACATGATGAGGTTTTGATGGATCAACAAAACCTGGTGGTTGAGTCATATATACTTCTTCCTCCAATGGGCCTTGAAGAAAGGCATTGTTGACATCAAATTGCAAAATCGGCCAATCATGTGACACCTCGATCTTGCCAAAAGTCCAAATGACTATTATACCCTTGGGAAAATTTGTGAAATTCCATCGTAATATTGACGAGGATTAAAAATGTGAAATTTCAGTTCAAACGGTGACGAGTTTCGACATAAATCGAGTAAGTTATGAACGTTAGTTGAGTTTGGGATTAAACTCGCCCGTAATTTATGAAGCGCCTAAAATACCCATCGAACAAATAAAACCCTAAATCCCATTCGCTGGTTGGCCTCCGCAGTCAAACCATCCGCACTCGGCCTTCTCAATTA